GCAGTTGCACTTTTTTTTTATTAAATGGAACTTTATGTATACATATATATTTTTTTTTTTGACACTATTTGATTCCTTTTTTTTTTTGTTATTCTTTTTTTTTTTTTTTTTTTTTTACACTAAGACATGTGGTAAGATAAAAGTTTTTATTTATTTATCAAAAGTGGGAAATCAAAATAAAAAATAAAAAAGAAAAAAAATTTTTAGAGACGTTTATTTAGTATTTGAAAGTAATTGAATATATAATAATTGAATAAAATAATTGAAATATATTACATTTGAAATACACGAGTTAGTAACAACATTTTTTAGTTGTTTATTGTTTTTCTTATTCTTCTGTCGTTTAAAACGGATTTACATGTCAGCTAGTAAAAATCTTTCTGTATTATACATATATATATATATGTATATGTATATGTATATGTATATGTACACCATAAATTTATCTATACGTCTACAATGTCATTCATAGTTGTTTATGGATTAGAGACACGTAATCGGAATGTAGAGGATATCTCTGATCCACCGTGTACAGTCAAATTGAAATTTACGATTGAATTCTATAGGGTGTTGATTTTGTTTATTTACGATATTGAAACGATTCTATATATTGTGTGTGTATGTGTGTGATTTTTTTAAAAATAATTATATATTTACAGTTAATAAATCAAAAAAAAAAAAAAAATAAAAAAAAATATATATAAAAAAGAACATGAGACACTTTGTATATTTTTATTTAGAAAAAAATTAAAAAATTAAATATATAAAAATATACATACAAGTGTCTGTAATAATAAAATATAAAATTAGATATAATATAAAATTAATGAGATAAAAAATTAGATTTTAAATATTATCGATAAGATAAAATATTAAAATATTTTAAAATTAATTTCTTTTTTTTTTTTTTTTTTAAATTATTGTAGTACAATTTTTAATTTTATTAATTTATTTAATTTTTGTTTTTTAAATTATTATAATATAAATACGATGTTTTATTTTATTGATTTAATTTATTTTTTTTTTTAAATTATTGTAATACAATTTTTAATTTTATTAATTTAATTTAATTTTTTTTCTTAATTTTAATAATTTAATTAATTTTTATTTTTTAAATTATTATTAATACAATTTTTAATTTTATTAATTTAATTAATTATTGTTTTTTAAATTATTATAATACAAGGTTTTATTTTATTAATTTAATTAATGCTTGTTTTCAATTATTGTAATACAATTTTTAATTTTATTAATTTAATTTTTTTTCTTAATTTTAATAATTTAATTAATTTTTGTTTTTTAAATTATTATAATACAATGTTTTATTTTATTAATTTAATTTATTTTTTTTTAAATTATTGTAATGCAATGTTTTATTTTATTAATTTAATTAATTTATTTTTTTTTTAAATTATTGTAATACAATTTTTAATTTTATTAATTTAATTTCATTTTTTTTCTTAATTTTAATAATTTAATTAATTTTTGTTTTTTAAATTATTATTAATACAATTTTAAATTTTATATTTTATTTTATTTTATTATTTTTTATATTATAAATACAAGAAGTGTTGATATCCTTAAATATTGTTGCAACAAATTATTTCAATAATTAAACCTTTATAAATAATTTGGAAATATTTTTCTTAATGTTGATTAATCAATTTTTAAATTAAAAAGATAACAAATAAAAAAGAAAAAAAATCATCTATCAATGAATTAAGAGACTTTTTGTTAAAATAATATTTTTTTTTTTTTTTCAAATGTTTGAACATTTCCAAACTTCTTTTCATCATCATCATCATCATCATCATCATGATTACCATCATTATTATTATCATTATTTGAACATTAGTATAATTTAATCATCGTAGACGGAACCAAACGATTTGAACTTTCACATACATCTATTATTTTGATTAGTTGAATTGCTTGCTTGTTTTGCTCGTTTGTTAAATTTGTTTCGCATTAAAGTAAGAAAAAAAGTCCATTTGTATTGAATGAAAAAAAAAAAAGAATTTTTTATTCTTTTTTTTTTTTTAGAGAAATAAATATTTAAATATTTTTTTATTCAAATGAGATAAAAGAGAAAATATTTGTCTACAATGATTAAAAACAAACTTTCCAAATGGTGAATGATTTTTTTTTAAATTCAGGTTTCTTTTTTTTTTTTTTTAATTATCACTAAATATCTTTCTAATTTTTTTTTTATAATTTATTATTATTATTATTTCATATTTAATATAAATGATAATTAATTAAATAAATATTGTGTGGAAATTATTTTTTATTTTATTCGTATTTAATTTAATTTAATGTAGATTTTTATTTTTAATTATTTTTAAATATCTTTCCAATCTAAATAATCTTATTTAAATAATTATTATTAAATATCTTAATAATTTTTTTTTTATAATTTATTATTATTATTATTATTATTATGTAATATTTAATATGAATGATAATTAATTAAATAAAAATAATTTGTCATTACTCGTAGGATCATTTGAAACGATTATAATAAAATATTTTTTCTTTTTTTTTTGATCTTCTGAAATTTCCTTTAATTTTTGTATTTTTTTTTTATTTTTTGCAAAATATTGATAGAGTTTCAATTTATTTTTCATCAAGTTATAAGATAATTTGATAAATGGTTTCATTGAATTAAACCTTCTTAATACCTATGTTTATCATCGAACTAGTCTTTCAATCGACTTTCAACTATTTTCACCTATACTTTCACCTATTTACAGTTAAATCTTCCTAGTGGAACGCCTTTACTTGGAACACATCATATTCTAAGGTATTTCCCCTTCTTTTTTTAACATTGAAATGTTCAATTCAATTGAATAATATAAATTTAATATTTCAATTTAAATTATTGTTCACATATTCTTTTAACTTTCATCAATCCAATGCGAATCTTCAAATATTCTAAAAATTTGATATACAAATAAATATAAATTTATTTTTAACTAACAGAATTATTTTATTTTTTAATAGAAATCAAATCATGGAAGAGAAAAGTGAAATACAATCGTATTATACTGGAAAAACCATTTTCATTACCGGTGGTTCTGGTTTTATGGGAAAAGTTCTTATTGAAAAATTACTTTATAGTTGTAGTGACCTTGACAAGATTTACATGTTAATAAGATCAAAAAGAGGCATGAGTCCTGACATACGTATAGCACAGATGTTCAAATTACCGGTGAGTTTTTTTTTTTTTTTTAATTTTATTTACAAAATTGAAATCAAATGAGATTATATTTTTTTTTTTGCTTTTGGTTTATTTTTTTTATTTTTACAGATGTTTGCAAGAATTCGAAAAGATAAGCCGGAAGTATTAAAAAAATTGATACCATTATCTGGTGATATTTCATTGAATAATCTTGGATTGAATGATGAACAACGAGAATTGTTAATTAAGGAAACACAAATAGTCTTTCATGTAGCAGCCATGGTTAAATTGGATGCAACATTGAAACAAGCGGTTGATTTTAATTTGGTAATTTGATTAAAAAACATTTCAAATATGTTTTAATTTTTTATTATATCACATTTAAAAAATGAATTATTTGTTTCATTAAATAATATGACATTATATTATGATTTATTAATAATGGTAAGTATAATATTATATAATATTTATCAAATGTTATATTTAAATGGAATATTCAATATTGTAAAACACATACATATTTAATATTTCGTATATGAAGATGTAACATTAAAGTTACATAAATTCAAAGCTTATTTAACATTAAACTTGTCGACATTTCATATAATTCTATTGATTTTGTATTTAACCAAATTAAAAAATATAAATAATATATAATATATAATAATTTATAAATATATAAATTATAATTTTTTTTTTTATAATATTTATGTTAATATTAAAATAATTAATTTAATATATAATATATATATATATATATATAATAATATATATTGTATATATAAAATTAGTGTTAAATATTATATGTAAATTAGTGTTAAAAAAGTTGGTCAATGTTTTTATTTTACTCAAAGATTAAAATATTTATAAAATTGCAATACATTAAAATAATAAAATTAAATTAAATAATTTAATTTATATTTAATTTATTTATTTAAATTAAAATAATAAAAAAATATTCATACATATAGTGGTGTTAAAAAGTTTGTCAATGTTTTTATTTTATTCAAAGATTAAAATATTATAATAAAATTAAAATATATTAAAATAATAAAATTAAAATGTGTAATAAAATAATAAAATTAAATTAATTAATTTAATTCAATTAAAATAATATAAAAATATTAATATATATATATCTTAATATATATAAATTACGTGTGTCACGTTGTTTGTCCGCAATGGACTCCTAAACTACTGAACTGATTTTAATAAAATTTGGCACAAAGTGTGCAGTTTTATCCAACTTAAAAGATAGAATAGTTTATATTTTAATTTATAATCGCAATATTATATTATATATATATATATATTGATGTTAAAAAGTTTTTTTAAATGTTTTTATTTAACTCAAATATTATAAACGATAATATATAATGTGTGTGTTTTTTTTTATTTTAATTAAAGATTGGTACCAAGAGGATGTTGGATCTTTGCAGGGATATGAAAAATTTAGAAATTTTCTTACACTTGAGTACTGCATTTTGTCATGTCGATCAGGTAGAACTTGGTGAAAGAGTTTACGATTCACCAGACGATCCTCAAGATGTAATAAGACTCGTTCAATGGTTGAACGACGAGACCATCGATCTTATTACTCCTAAGTAATTAATTTGATCCTACAATTTTAATCTTACGTAACATTTATTATATTTCACTCTTCATTATTATCAATTATTTATTTTTTTTAATTTAATTTCGTGTCATCCATCATTAGTGCTGATTTTTATTTATTTTTATTTTTTTTTTTACAGATAAAGTATTTACAAGCAATTGACTAAATCTATTACTAAATTAATTAATTATCTTTGAGGTTTATATTAATTTTATTGAGGTTTAAATTAATTTTGTTTTGTAGAGAAAACAAATAAAAATTGTAGTATTAAATTATTTATAATAATTATAGTTTTATTAATTAAATTATGAAATTGTTACGTGTAATTATAAATTGTTATATTAATTTATTTAATATTATATTAATTATATTATAATTAATATTTAATATATATTTCATTATATTATATAATATTAATTAAATTAGCAATTATTAATATAACAATGTTAAATTATATATATATAATAATTAAAAATTACTACAATTTAATATTTAATTTAATTCTAAAGAGAATTAATTTATATTTCATATTTTTATTTTAAATTATTTAACACGTGTTCGATAGAAATAATAGATTTTAAATATCGTATTTATTTAATTTCTCAATCATATTTTTATTATGTCTGATTTTTTTTCTATTTTATTTATTTTTATTTTAGATTGATTGCTCCACATCCAAATACTTATACATACACAAAACGTTTGACGGAGAAAATAGTAACAGACGAGTATCCTAATATGCCAGTCGTCATAACGAGACCATCCATTGGTAAATATAATAAAAGAAAAATATTTAATAGAAAGATTTGCTTGATAAATTGACCCCAAAAACAAAAAAAAAGAATTCTTTCTCCTTTTTTTCGTGATATGAATTTTGATAAAAGATGTAGTAGTAGTAGTAGTAGTAACTTAAACGTAGCAGTTTATTCGATCAATGGGATCATGTATACCAAAGGAAGTCTTATATAAGTCGATCCTTTGACATTTCAAGGATTTTATGTATATTTGAAGATCATTTATTGATATAATACTAATACAAATATACGATAAATGATTATTTACATTTTCAAATATTTCACGTTAGTAAATACATGTAAATTAAATATATGTAGATATATGCACAAAAACAATATCATTAACATTTAGGAAGTTTTTCAACTTTGTTATTTAATTCGACGAATTTTTTAAACTTGTTTTTATATTATAACACGAAACATTTTATGTTGACTATTTATAGATATTTCATCATTGATGACGTGCGTTAAAATGAGAAGTTGAATGTCAGACACATGGCTTGAACGTGAAGTTCAACGTCAGTCATCAGTGACTGACACTGCTGAATGTGAATTTTAACGTCAGTCATTAATGACTGACATGAACTGAATGTGAAATTCAACGTCAGTCACTGATGATTGACACGGCCTGAATGAGAAGTTAAAAGTCAGTCACTAATGACTGACATGGTCTGCATGTGAAGTTCAACGTCAGTCCCCAATGACTGACACAGTCTGAATGTGAAGTTCAACGTCAGTCATTAATGACTGACACGGTCTGAATGTGAAATTCATTGTCAGTCACTGATGACTGACACGGTCTGAATGTGAAATTCATTGTCAGTCACTGATGACTGACACAGTCTGAAGGTGAAATTCATTGTCAGTCACTGATGACTGACATGGTCTGCATGTGAAGTTAAAAGTCAGTCATCAATGACTGACACGGCCTGGATGTAAAGTTCAATGTCAGTCATTAATGACTGATACGGTCTGAATGTGAAATTCAACGTCAGTCACTGATGACTGACGTGGCTCTCAACTTGTTAATTTGAATAAAAATCATGTTTTTTTTTTCTTTTCGATGAAGAAATTCCATAATTTTACGATTATAGAATATTTTTAATTCATTGGAGTTTTTTTTTTTTTCAATATTATTTTGAATTTGTTTTTATGTCAAATTTGATGTGTTTTAAAAATTTAGTGTTCAATGAATAGGAAAAGAATACAAAATAAAAGAAATGAAGTAAATGTATTGGATATTAAATCGAAGAGTTAATTTAGGTTGATTATTACAGTTCTACCTGCTGTTAAAGAACCTTTGCCAGGTTGGGTTGATAATTTGAACGGACCGATAGGTCTTACAATTGCTTCCGGAAAAGGTGTATTGAGAACGATGCACTGTGATCCTGATTATCATGCTGAAGTTTCTCCCGTTGATTTGTCTATTAATGCATTGATTGCTATCGCTTATAAGGAAGCTTCTAATAGGAACAAGTAAGTTATCAATTTGATTAATTAATTAATTAACAATAATTTATATTTCAGGTTTGTTTAAATATTATTATTAAATGAATAACATATTTTTTTTTCTTATTTAAATTTAATTAGTTTTGATTTAGTATAATTATTAAATAAATAATATTTTGTTTTTGTTTCAATTTAATTTGTTTTGTGTGTGTGTTTAATGTAATTATTAAATGAGTAATACTTTGTTTTTTTTTTTTAATTTAATGTTTTTTGTGTTTAATATAATTATTTTAATTTAATTTAATTTTATTTTATTTTACTATTTTAATTTTATTTTATTTTATTATTTTAATTTAATTTAATTTTATTTTATTATTTTAATTTAATTTAATTTTATTTTATTTTAGTGTTTTAATTTAATTCAATTTTATTTAATTTTATTTTTAATAATGAAATAAAAAACACTTTACCGTCTTTACGTTTTATCAAAATTTTGTTACTTGACAATAATTTTACATCATTTCCAATTCCTCTATTTTTTATATTTTATATTATTATCCATTGCATTTATCTATTTATTCATATCTTGTTAAATACTCTTATTTTTACTATTATTTATATTTTAAATGAAACCATCCACTTACCAATAACATTTGTCTTTCAATTCTCCTATGACACCAACGTGGTATCACCGAGACGGCATAGTGTTTGTTAAATAAATAATCAATAAATTGAAATTGTACATTTTTAAAATCACAGATCGAAGAACATTCCAGTTTACAACATCACTCAGAGTTCAATTGAACCAATGTCATGGGGTAGTCTTGTTGATCAGGGTAAACATATCGTTTACAAATATCCATTTGATGGAATGGTTTGGTATCCTGATGGTAACATACGTAAAAGTAAATTGGCTCATAATATTATGCATTTCTTCTCTCACGTTTTACCTGCATACTTCATCGATTTTTTGATGTTAATATTTTTACAAAAAAGATTGTAAGTATATAAATTATTATTTATATATATATATATATATATATATATATATATATATACTAAATTTGTATTATGTTTGTAATTAGTATAAGATTTAATGAAATCTGTGGATTTATTTAAATTCACACATTAATTATATTTTTTTTTGTTTTTTGTTTTGAATTGCAGTATGGTACGTATACAAAAAAAAATTGCCAATGGTTTGGAATTATTGGAATATTTTACAACGCGAGAATGGAAATTTCACAATACGAATTTATTAATACTCGATGGTGAAATGAGTCCGAAGGATAAAGAAATTTTCCAAATTGATGGATGCAAAGTTGATCGGATTGAATTTATGAAAAATTGTGTATTAGGTGCTAGACAATATTGCATGAAAGAGGATTTATCTTCTTTACCAAGAGCACGGATGCAATTAAAGATGCAAGTATCTCAAAAGAATTTTCATTATAGTATTTTTTATATTGTCTTTTATTTATTTTTTTTTTTTCATCCCCAGTTATATTTCAACATCGAGTTATCTTTCAATTTTATTTAAATTGTGTAATTATATTTTTTTGGGCCCTATTTTTGTAGGGTCTATTGTTGAATTTGAATTTTGAGGAATTTTTTTTGTTATTTGTTTTTAAGAAATTTTTAAATTTTATTTAGATTGTGTATTTGTACTTTTTGGGGCCCTATTTTTGTAGGGTTACTTATCAAGTTTGAATTTTCAGGAATTTTTATTTTTTTTCCTGTTTTCTATTTTTTTTCCTGTTTTCTATTCTTTTTCTTGTTTTTTCTTTTTCTTTTCCTGTTTTCTATTTTTTTTCTTGTTTTTTTTTTTTTTATTTTATTTTTTTTTACAAAAGTTACAATTTAAAATGATTCAATCAGATTATTTTTCTCTTTGTGTGTGTGTGTGTGTGTTTTTTTTTTAAATATTTTAATATTTTTTTACACTTTTACCTTAATTTTTCTTATTTTCTTATTTTTAATTTTTTTTGTTTATTTCTTTATGTTTTATTTTTTGTTTTTTGTTTTGTTTTGGTTTTGTTTTAGACTGTACATCCTTCATAATATAACAATATTCGCCTTCTACTTTGGCATATTTTATTTCTTTTACACTCACTTGGAATTTGCACAAGTTTCTGTGAATTACGTCACGGATAAGATAAAGATGCTGCCAATGATGGGAAATGTTATACAGAAGACACCTATTTAAGTGAAATAATTGTCACAACAATAACAAAGATTTGTTTTATTTTTACAAATTTTCCTATATCCTTCGAATATTTGTCATAATAATCATTTTCTTGTTTTTTTTTTTTTTTTTTTTTTTTTTT